TCATTCCTTCCTTAGGGTACCTTGATTAGTTTAATCTAATTTAAACCCTCCCCACCGTCACCAGCCCCACCTTCATTTCTGTCCAAGTTACATAATGCCAGTGAGTGCTTCTGGACAAGGAGTTTCCTCTTCCTTTTTAAAAAGCTGCTAAAAGAGGCCTTTCTCATATAAAATTATGAAATGTAGAATGGCTGCAACTGTTTTTATTGGCAAGTTTGGAAGTGGCCAAAGGATGGACCTACCCATGGAACAGGACGGAACCAAGAGAATGGCAGAAAGGTGGACCAGCAGCCCTGACGGCCTTGTGCATACCTGGATCAGATTTCCTCTGGGTTTTTAATTAGTGGGTAGTAGAGTCTCCTTCTCTACTTAGAACTTGTAATACTTTTGTTTAGAAGCATTTATTATGTAGCTCCTGTGTGCCAGGCACTGTGATAGACGTTAGTGATATGGAGCGACAAATGGAATAGATTTCTTGTCCTTATAGGGCATATAGCTAGAATGGAGGAACAGACGTGTAGTGAGATGAGTGGGATAAAGTGTTACCGGTACAAATCATAGACAGCCCACAAAGATGGAAAGGCTTTTTCATAGTTACCAGAGAAAAAAATTGATGGAAGAAATTATTTCTGTCACTGCTCTTATAGTACCAAAAGTAGGAGAGCCTGCTCTTTAAGCCTACAGTTATCTTCATTTTGTGAGCAGTGGTTTAATTTCAGCAAAGCATTATTTGTCGCATTAGTGTTGATTTGGGTTTGTATATACTTGTATATAACTATAATTTAAGAGCTGTAAAAATAGGAATTTATTCCTAGTAAGTTTATACAAACTTAAATTTATCAGTAACTGGGTAGGTTCATGATTTTTTTTTTTTTAAAGGAAGTCCTTAAACTACTCAGTTTTGAGAAACACTAGTTGGGATAGGCACTGGGGAACCATTGAAAAGTTGAGTCAATGGATGAATGGAAGGCAAGATTGTAAGTCCAGAAATCTTTTAGTTTAGGTTGGTAATGAGCAGTTTTTTTTTTTTTAATGTTTGTTTATTTTTGAGAGAGAGTGTGAGCGGGAGAGGGTCATAGAGAGAGGGAGACAATCCAAAGCAGGCTCCAGGCTTCGAGCTGTCAGCACAGAGCCTGAAGCAGGGCTTGAACCCATAAACTGCAAGATCATGACCTGAGCCAAAGTTGGACACCCAACTGATTCAGCCACCCAGACACCCCAGCAGTTTGAATGAAGGTGCAGAAGTGGGATTTGAGAGAAAGGGTACAAAATATGTTCCCTACATAGCCTTTGTGGCTGATATGATTTGTGGGATGAGAGAGAAACCCCAGATGTCTAGTCAGTGACTGGATGGATACTGCTGCTGTTCAGAGAAGTAGAGATTATAGGAAAAGGAACAGGTTTTTTCTGGGGCTGAAGTGGAAGTGTGTAGAGGGGGTGACAGGATGACACCTGTTTTGAGTATCTTGAATCTAAGGTGCCTTTTAAACATTTAGGTTAGTAAGTCCTATAGTTTAGGAGACAGGAATATAATTTGGGAGTCTACAGTATTTAGAAAGTAATTGAAACCAGGGAATTATTTTTGCCCAGGAAAAGTTTACTGAGTGAGAAGTGAGGTCAAAGATATTCTAGACAGTCTTGGAAGAGGAGTCCACATTCTCTCTTGTCTCTGTTTTTTTGTGCTACTAGCCTCCCTATTCAAAGTCCCTGGGGAGTATGTCTATTTGGGTAATCAAAGAATATTGAAGAAAAGAAAAGGTATTTCTTGAGAGAGATTAATTTTAAGAGTAACAAGCATTAAATACTGCTGTGTATTTAAGACTTTTTGTATTTTCCCCAAACTCACAGATTGCCTCCCCCCAGGAATACCCAGGAATAGGGATATTAGACTACACACCTTAACCTATGTCATCTCTATCCAGTCCACAGAACTGGCAACTTTTTTCTTTTTTTTCTTTCTTTCTTTTTTTTTTTTTGTCAACTTCAGCAACAACAACTTCTCCTTCTCCTTCTTCTCCTTCTTCTCCTCCTTCTCCTCCTTCTCCTCCTTCTTATTCTTTTTAAATATTTTATGCATGAGGGCCAATTCATAAAAAAGAACTATGTTTAAAATAATTGAGTAGTTAGCCTGTGGATATACAAGATACCTGTTCAGAGTAGGGGATACTTTTAAAGCAAGAAGTTAAAGACTCTTCTTTACATAGACTGTCCTTGATAAAGAGAAGGAAATCTGAGTCTGAATACCTCCATTTATTTGAGACACTTGAAGATGTAGCTAGGCTTCGGTATAAAGCAAGACTGCAGTGCTTAGAGGGACCCTGATATACATGTGTTGTCAATAAACATTGATATTGAAACTTTCCAGCAACACAGTGTGCCTAGAGAATAAGATGTTACAGTTTCAAAATTTGAGAGTAGAAACCTGCATGTAAGAAATGAGGAACTATGTGATAGGTCTAATTATATCTAAGGCAACAAATAGTCCTTTTGGTGGTTTTTTTTTGGTGTGTTTAGGAAAGAAAACACTGGTTTTATGTATCTTTTAAACCACTACTTTGGAACTATTAAACTTAAAAAAATGTTCTTATTCCTTTTCCTTACTGTGTATATGTGTAAATATAATTGGTAAACATTTTATACTCCTTACAACTTATTTATTTATACTTATTTGTACTTATTTATGATATAGACATGGGTCAACTCTTAATCTCAAGAAATCAAAACAGTGTTTGGCAAATCTGAAATCTTTTACTGACATCTAGATACTAATCTAGCATGCCATAGGACTGATTTTGGAAACTGTTAAGAAGGTCAGGCTGGCTAGAATTCCAGAAAGTCAGGACAAATGACATTGCTATTTATGATGATGGTTCAGTGTGATCAATTTTTGTTGAAAATGAAGCAGAAAGAAATATTGAATTTGAACGTATACGGGGTACCTATGGTTATAGTGAAGATGGGGAGAACTTGAAAATCATGGCAGAAGAAATCTCAGTGACCACAGAATGGCCCTGTAACAAACCCAACAGAGTTTGAGATGAGATATGTGAGTATAACAAAGTATAGATAATAATTTCAGTGTCCTTGAATTTTGTATTTGTTTTGTCTGATTTTTCTTTCTCCAAATCTTTATTATAAATGTGCTATGGTTTGTACATCTAAAATGTGTTCAGAATCTGACTTCTTACCATCTCAGTCACTATTACCTTGAGCTTATCCACCATCATCTTTTGCCTACATTATTGCAACTGTCTCCTAAATTTTGTTGCATATTGGACTCACCTGAAGATTTGAAAAAATACTGATGCCAGCTCCCGCTGGCATTCCTTGGAATGTATTGCAACCTGGGCATCAAGGATTTTTTTAAGCTTCTGGTGTCTCTAATATGTACTCCCCGCAGATTATCAGAAAATCAGTAATCTTTCCCTGAAGTAATTTATTTTGACTATATTTCTGCTTGTAGCCATATTAATTTAATTTGGGACATTTCCATTTCTTAAAGTTGTAGAACTAAGGCCTTCTTGGTTGTGAGCAGTGAAAGCTGACTGGCTGGTTTAAGCAGAAGTGAAGTTTACTGCTGTCATCAGAAAGAATTCTGTCTTGTTTCTGCTTTTCTTTGCCATTAGCCTCCATATTCAAAATCCCTGGTAGGTGTGTCTGTTTGGATTAGAAGAAGCTGCCAGGCCATGTGGGAAAGCCAGGTATCTGGCATTTTCAATTTTTAATAGTGGGAGATAAGTTCCACTTGCTTACTCATCTTGCTAAACTCATGAAGTTGGGAAATCTCTAGACACAGGCAAGGGCTTCACATGCTTGGAAGCCAACAAAGTGACGAAGGTCTGCTATACATAGGATAACCTACAATGTGTTATTTATTTTAATCCACTGGTACTCAAGCTAAGAACCCACAGGACACTGCTGTTATTCCATTAATATTTTTAAACCTTTAGAACCTGCTACCACTTGTCCCTTAGTAAGCAATAAGAGATAACAAAATAAATGAACAAGTAGCAAGCAAATTAATAGGACAACTTAGATATATAGCTTATGAATATTGATATATTATTTTTGGAGACCAGTATAAGTATAAAATAGGCATGGTTCTTGCTAGTAAAAATGTTCTGAGTTTCTATGATGGAAGTTATATATCGGTGTTATATGTCAGCACTGTCCAATAGAAATAAAATGTGGACCACAGATGTAATCCATATGTGTAATTTTCAATTGCATTAAAAAAGTAAAAATAAACAGGGGCATTTAATTTTAATAATATATAATTTAACCCAATATGTTCAAAATATTATTTCAACATTTAATCAGTGCAAATATTTAAGGTATAGTTTGCATTTCTTTTCCATATTAAGTCTTCAAAATCTGTGTATTTTATACTTAGAATACAGCTGAGTTCAGACTAACCTCACATAAAGTGCTTAATGGCTACTGTATTGGACAGCACAATTCTGTGGCATTTTGTAAAATGCTATATAACTTCCAAATACTGCCCACTAAACATACTTCTCGTGAAGCGTTTTAGGTACCTTATAAAAATCTAATGGTTGTTTTAAAAATGTAAACTAAAAGTAATAATAAAGTTCTTGGTTATTCAGTGTCTTTGAATCCAAAAAGGTTTTACTGGATTTTGCGGTATTTGGCTTTTTTTTTTTTTTTTTTAATGGTCGGAGGAGGTATGAAATGGGGAAGAGAAATCTAATTTTTTTATTAGGCTTTGTTTCTGTTTATTATTTTTATATTTTATGAACACTTCAATTCATGAGGGATTAGATGTGCCTTAGGCAGAGAAGGGCGACGTGCTGTAGTGCCGAGCTTGCGTGTGAACAATCAAATGAATCATATTTTACGACCTATAATGTATATGGCACTACTAGGCTTTAGTATTTGAAGTTTTGTAAATAAAAGTAACAGTGATCATATATATTTCTTTCCCTAGCTAATCCATGTTGATAGTAAGTTTTATGTTCTAATTATTTTTATTCTTACAGGCTGCTGAATCAGGAATAATAAAAGTTAAAACAATAGCTGCACGAAACACCGAAATTTTGGCAGGTAATTTTTTGCATTAAAAATTCAACAATTAATGAAAATTTCACTAATAGTAAAAGTGCACACTTTAAAACAACAAAAAACAGCCAACAGTTTTCTGTAGCCTCTCCTCTGTGCCCTGGCATGCTATTTATGATAAAGAATATGTAAAAGTCCCTAACTTATGAACTAATTGGGTTTGCCAAGGATGAATGTTACAAAATTCTCTGAAATTAGAAAGCTTTAAACTACTAACTCCTTACAGGCAAGGACTTGCATTCTCCTCCACTTCTTCTCAGTCACCTAAAACACACCTTACCCATAAAAGGCATTCAATTAATATTTGTTGTATTGAATTGAATAAAAGGTTGGTTCTCAGTCCACCTTCCAAGATCTATTTTATCTTTAGTATAATATAAACAGGTGATAGCGTAGTATTATAAATTTAGTAGTACTATATGAGTTTTGAATCGTAGGACTAAGACAGTATGGTCATGAAGAAAGAGTGGGAGTAGGGTGGAAGAAAGAAGAAAATGTTTTCTTACATTCTCGTGATTGAACCTGGTTTTCAAGGAGGAATTTTAAGAGTTGTCTTTGGCACTCTTTTGATAGTCTACTCGTTACTTTTTTTTGGTGCCTTCTTGTTCTTGCCTCTGTAATGAACATGGAAAAGAAGGAAACTGGATTTTCTGAGAATCTGTTACATGTGAGACATTCGTGCCACTTTGTCTTATAAAAGACAACCTTGTGGGGAAATGTTTTTATGTTATAGTAGAGCAAATCGAGATGCAAAGAGATTAAGTTACTTGACTAAGGTCATATGATAAATGGTGGAACTAGACTGAGGCCCCTGGCTGTTGAGAATCCAGGGCATGTTCTTCCTGCTACAGTATGCTGCCGTGATAATGTGAGGTTTCCACACTAGCCCCTCCCTCCCAGGTGTTTATACTTAATCATTGCTTACTTCACTGATTCTTCGTTCTGCATTTCCAGCTCCAGCGGTGCTATTAGTCTCAGCTGGTTACAGGAGAAAAATAGTCCTATTAAGTTAATTTACCCAAAATCCAAATAGTGATGAATCTCTCTAACTCTCATAAATCTCTTTACATTTTTAAAAAAGGATACCAGAAAAGCTCTAATTGGTGGAATTTCAAAGACTATTACAAAATGAAATGAAGACTTTTGGGGGGCAGTTTAAGGGTGGAAGGCGGATTTCACTTAGGCTTGCAGCTTTGCTGGACATGTGCCCATAGGGTGAGCTCTCCTGTGTTGCATCTGTTTCTCACAGCTTCTTCTCTGATTTTGAACATTGTGTCAAAACACCATATAGTTTCATAACATTATTCACAGCATTGAATAATGCTCTGTGTGCATTTTGAGAAGGGGTATAGTGAAAGTGGTGGGTAAAGGCAAAGGTAGGTGTGGTTGGATTGGGAGGGTGGGCTAGTGGGTTTGGGAGATGCATGTTGGGTGGATTTAGCAACTGTGAGGACATTAATGTTTAAAGATAAATTATGATCTGGATATTTTTAAGTTGGCCAGGCGTATTAGAATATCCTTACAGATAATAACTTTTGCTACCATAATTGCTAATATCATGGTTAGTCCTTAATCATTTCTCCAACAGTGGAAGTTTTCATTGGGTCTGTAGTTGATGGAAAATTTTAAAAAGAGACTGATTTCTTCAGAGGATTGCTGTCTGGTGCAGAGTTCTATACTAAAGTAAGGTGTCTAATTGGTTAATCTTAAGGAGGAGTAAGAAAAATTTTGTCTCAGTATGCGTTTAATATATAGGGGGCTATTAATTGCATTTTAATTCAATTAGCTGTATTCAAATCAAACTAAAACAAATCTTTATGCGCATACAATTAATAGTTCATGCTTTAATGTCCATAGTTTCCAGGGCCATGTACTTGAGGACTGTATTAGCATTTACACTATTTCCTAGCATTTTTTACCAAGTATAACAACTGATACTTTAAAATGTATACATTTTTAGACCACTAGCATCTTGAAAATCAAGGGCTCTTAAGAACAAGGAAAGTTTAGTCAATATATAGTTTCTAAACTGCTTAATTAGAGTATAGTTAACACTAAAAACAATTTTTAGTTGACTTTTTAAAAAATTTCATTTCCTGAGAAGTGTTTACTTCTCTATGGTGGTAGGGACTGTAAATTACTACTTTTGTGCTCTCATGGATGTTAAAGATATCAAACAATGGAGGAATCTCAAATGAAATTGGATATTGAATTCTCAGATATCTCTACATATTTCAAAAATACAAAGGGTTGCTATAAAAATCAGAATCCTTAATTAGGGTCAGCTAGTCTGATCAGTGATACTTAGCACAGATTTCTAGCCAATTTTAGTTTTCTGAGATTTATTTTCCAAGGGAAGGTTATTTACATTGCAGAATAAATCTTTGCTTTACATCTCCCCTTCTCTTAAGCATCCTCCTTTAATGTTTATTTTTCTTTGTTTTCACTGCTGTCATGAATGCTGACATAAGTGGGAATGCTATGCCAGGTAATGTCAGCATTGATTCAAATATACAGATCATTATCTCCACATTTCCTTTTCCTTTCAAGATAAAACTGCAAATGATAGATAGCAACATCCAGCTCTTCACTTACGAGGCCAAATGCCTTAACCTGACACTTGACTACCATATATTACAAATGTTTTTGTTAAGCCAGTTTACGGTATACTTGAAATTGACTGAGAAGGCTTGTGTTATACAAAAATTACATAAACAGAGAATCTGTTTTTGAATATTTGAAACAACGAAACCAACGAGGTTGTGATATCTTAAAATTGTGTTTAACCCATATTCAGAACCGTAGTGGTTACATCTACCTATGGCTGCTTTCAGCCACAGTCAGTATACAAATAGAATTTTTACATAGATGATCACTGTGTATGATTTGTGTTCTTTTCTCACACAGTTTCCCTCATCTTTTTCATATCTCCATGGTCTTGTTACTAAAACATCTTTAAGTAGCAATGAACAATATACTTTGGAATTTTTTTCTGATGTTAAAAGGTAATTTATCTGCTGATTTTATTTAGTATTTTCTATTTTAGCAATACATATGCTTGTGATATTTTACAAATATCTAGAGAATATATCATAATATATTCTTAATAGGGAAAGAATTATGTAAGAATCACTGGAAGAAATACAAAGATGAGTAGTGTAACTCACCTATAGTCTATATGGAAATATAAGAAATATACTTGAAAAGTGTGTTTGTGCCTGCCTTTCATTCCATTTGCCTTTTGAAGTCCTTTGCCAGAAATTTTTTCTTCTAGAGGACATACTTCCTGAGGTCAGGATCAATATCTTATTCTCCTTATATTGCTAGAAGTTAGCACATTACATAGGAAATAGTAAGCCCTCATTTAGCGCAGGCCAATAGTGAGTGAGTCATTCCAAAATGCGAGTAAGTCTGTCAGTGCTACCTCTAGTGTGTTTTTCTACTTTTCAGTCTTTGTCATAATTTTACATGTTATGATGATTCAAGTAGATGAATTTTGTCATACATCATTCATATCAGCCAGATAACCGAAGAATGAAGGAGACAGACTTTAAATGGAGAATTTTCATAGTGTGGTGGTAAATGCCAAGATGGAAGTATAGACAGGCTTATTTATTATGAGAACATAGAGAAGGCAGGCACCCAACCCAGTCTGGGAATCTTAAGCTGAGTCTCAAAGCTTAAAAAGGAGTTAGCCCAACAAATAAGGTATAGAAGTGGAAAGTAAAGCAGATTACTTAAATATATGAGGTATAAAACAGTGTGGTCTATGTGGATACACTATTCAGGTATTGCCATTGTGTGACTTTCTGAGCTGCTGGATGGAAGGAGTTTGAATCAAGGAAGTGACACATTCATTTTAACGTTTTTATGTAAACTCTCCCAGCAGTGTGCAAGGTGTATTTCAATGTACCATCAGTAAAGTAGAGGTCTGTTGGTAGGTGGTGTCTATAATCCAGGCTAGAAGACCAAGGGGGCTGTAACTAATGCCTTGTGTGCAGGTTAACCTAGTGGGTGAGAGAGATTACATAGTTTCTCTATGGTATAATGTGTTCTTATTTATTCTTTTTTCCTTGGATTTTTTAAAACTTTTAAAAACTTTAATTTGTATTCTGCCTTTTATTATATCATAAATACTTTTTTTGATGGTATCTTTTGTATTTTTTTAATTGCTTCATAATATTTTTTAGCCAGTGATTGTAGCTTATTAACCATTCCTTTATGTGAGGCATGTTTCAGTATTTAGAATTATTTTTTTAAGGTAAATTTCTAGCAATTAAATTATTAAATCACAGGGTATGAACAGGTTCTTGGAATTTGTTACCACAGTGCTTTCTGATAAAAGTTTATGCCTTTAGCAGTAATAGGTGAGTGTATTTTTATAACATCCTTGCCTGGTTATTGTTTTAAAAAATGTTTTTGGGAATTGAACAGGTAAATGACTTCTTATTTTAATTGATACTTCTTTTTAATATTGAACATTTTCCTTTGAGGTTATTAAATTTCCTTTTTTCATTTTACATTTATTTCTTTCAGTTTTTGTGTTTTTCTTATATTATTTGAACTATTTTATAGCAAAGGTATTAACTTCCCATCATGTTTGCATTTCCTGCAGGTCATTTACCTTTTAATTTTTAATTGAGATGTTTTTCATTTTTACATAACATAATTTTTCTGATTTGTTGCTCTCCACTTAGGAAGTCCTCCTTCCACATAGTGATAGTCATTTTTATTTTCTTTTAGTTTTTTTGTTTGATTTTTTCTTAATAATATATGGAGTGATGTGAGGACCTAGATTCTTTTTTCATTTGTAAAATTACTAACCAATTGTAATAGCTAGCATCATTTTTTAAATAATCCTTCCTTTTCATATAATGTGCTTTTAATGTGACACTGCCCATACTTTTATTTGTCCTTCGATTCTTGACTCATTTAAAGTATTTTCAGACTATTTGAACCATTAAATTTTTTAAAATTTTGTTAGAAATATCAGTCTTTCCCATAACTAAATTTTAAGGGATTTTGAGGGTAGCAATCATATCTACATCATATTTTATTTCTTTCACAAGAATTATAATTTGTTATTTAATGACCATTAAAATTTATCATGATGAAACTTTTATTAACCCCCATTAATGTGATTCATAGTGGGGTATCCTAGTTTAATTCTTTCTTTCCAGGATAAAAACTACAATTATGCAGTGAAACTGTTCAGAGCAAGGAAACCCCTAGGATATGGGGACCTGCTGGACCTCTTTCAGGTGTGTGAAAGTGTATCATTTGATCTCACAGTTATAAAATTTGGAAATAAAATACATTTATCCAACAGTGTTATTCTATTAAAGGAGTCATATTTATTAAGGGACTTAGGTTAAAAAAAATAAATTTTTCTTCCTTACCCCCTAAAAAGCCTGTCTTTATATTTTGAAGGAATTTGAAATAGAGAGTTTTGATTAAAAAGAGTTGAGCCTTTTCTTCTTAATTTCCTGGAATGAGTTTAAAAAATAGTTAAAGCAAGATGTCTTTATATCATTATATAGCTTTTTCCTCATGATTTCTAAAGTCTCAGCCCGTAGGAAGGTTTTTATATAAAGCTGTATTTAAAATAACATGTCATTAAAATTATTGTATATAAAGAGCATCTATCTCTCAATTAGAAGAGCAGGCTAATTTCTGTTTCCTAAGACTACTATCACTTTTACAAGAAGAAAAAAAAAAACTAACTTTTTTTTTGTTGTGATTTCTGTCTTACTGCATTGTGATCTGGATATGGTAGATACATTTTTTTCACACTGTGTTTCAAAAGACAAAACACATCAATACGTTGTATTTTTTTTTGTTATTGATTTATTCTGATAACATTGAAACATCCTTTTTTATTATTTTATTCTCATATAAACTGGGAGAAAGAATGGGAAGGAGGCAAGAGATGGATGTTGGATTCCTTTGTTACATTAAAATAAAATTCATAAAAATTATTTTTAATACTATTTTAATTTATCCTAACTTGAGACACCTGGGTAACTGTGACTGCCCCCATATACAACATTTTGCTGAAACTCACTTTATGTTATTCTTTCTAAGAGGCACTGTTTTTTCACATTTTAATATTGCCCAAATTGATATGCATCTTACAGTTGATGGCATCTTACAATCATTGTGGGCCAGGTAGTATGTAGCTGTCATTTACGGTGCAAATGTGAACTTGTTTATAGGTTCATATTACTATTAATGTCATTTGAGTTATGTGCATTGTTGATAACTTGTAAGTTTAATTGCTATTTAAACTGTCACCCTAGTTGTTGTACAGAAATTTTCTGTTGACATCTTAATGGTAAGGTCACAAAAGCACTAGCATCAAAATGTGCAGAATGGGTGACACTGGCTTAGAAGATGATCTCAGAGACAATAGGGAAGTACTCTTTCAAGAAGTGAGGCATCCCAAACAATCTGATTATAAAATGGGCAGAAGATCTATATAGACATTTTTCCAAAGAAGACCTACAGATGACCAACAAGTATATGCAAAGACGCTCAACATCATTAATCATCAGGGAAATGTACATCAAAACCACAGTGAGATATCACCTTACACCTGTCAGAGTGACTGTTATCAGAGACGAGGGAATACAATGGCCTTGATAGATGACATTGTGAGGAACAATTCTAAGTGATGATAAAGCATTGTATCAGTTTAATTGACAGAATTAATATTGGCACTGATTTTTCTGTGTGACAGTTGAATGTGTCTTGAAGTCACTTCCATCAGAGACTCTATGAAAGTACATTTTTTTTTCCTTCTATGAGGACAGTTTCTTTTCCTTCATTTACCTGAAGACTTCAGGCAGACAGCATGAAAGTGCAGATCATTGGTTCCTCTGAGATACTTGTAACTGTTTGAACTTTGATTTGCTTTAAGTGCTGTTTACCTTAAAGAGTGGCAGCATAATGTTGTGGGAAGAATAGTGAACCAGGAGTTAGAAGACCTGTTTTCAAAATGTGGCTTTACCACTTACTATGCACTTGAGCCAAATCATGCTCTAAAAACTCTCTATGATTATTATGATACTCAGATGAGAAACATGTTAACATCATAAAAATGATAAATGCAACTTGTTACTGTTGAAAACTTTTATTTGCTGAATGGCATTTAGTAACTAGGCATGTTCAGCAGAGTTGGGGTAGCCTCACGCTTCAGCAATTCCAGCAGGATTGAATATGGTAGGATATTTACTGCTTCAGAACAGTATTTTTTGAGCTTTATTGTCTTCTGTTAATCATTCATAGAAATGTTTTGAGACATTGTTACGGTACCTTGTGTCTTGATTTGAATCAAAACGTTTATGCCTAGGAAATCAAGGAAATAAGGCAAGGGGAGCCCTTTTGGAAACACTGTTCTTTGCCAGTCATATTTGCCATCTCTTAGCTGTCTTAAGTCAGTAATTTATGCTGGCATACCGAAGGACTTTGCAGAGTATGCTGTAGGAAATTGTGGTCTTTATTTAGCATACTATAATGGGAGCTTTGGGAGAAAAAGGTGGGGATTTAAATGATGAAATTAATGTTAACACTGCTTTTACGGTTTTAATGTGATCGTGGATGACTTTCTAACAATTTCTTTTGGAAAACATGTTAAAACTCAGATTTGTATGTCTTCATTACAATTCTTAATCTCAAAAAATAATTGATGGGTGTCGTACCTTTGAGAACCATATGCCAAACACATAAGTTTAATGTTCTCTTTCCTTAGAATCCCATGTTGTCTTTTTAAATTCTCTGAGGGTGGCAGACCTGTCTCATTCATCTCTGTATAGCCATTAAGTGTGTATTGACTTAATTTCACTTTGTAAATTTAATTTTTGGTTTTGTGCATTTTCTAACTTCTTAGATTTTTGTTACCACTTTAAAACTTCTGAAAGAATTGGCTTGGTAGAAGGGGTTAAATTAAGATTTGGCATTATAGCATGTGCATCCAATTAATTTAAAGTGATGCTTTAGTAACAAGAGGAGTAATGTTACTGTTTTTAATGAGTTTGTTTCTTGAAGAAGAAATTAGGGCTCTATAAATTCAGAGCATGTAATAAGATTGTGTGGAGATTCTGAACATTCAGAAGGGTAATGAGGATGATGTATATACTATTTTTAATTACTTTTTCTGCTCTAGAATATTTTTATTCATATTTCTCCCTCTGCACTGTTGAAGAAATAGAGGGCTTCTCTGAGGCAGGATAGAACTTCTGAGAAGTTGTCCTTAAAAAGTTTGCAGCAGGAGATGAAGGAAAATCAAAAAACAGTGCTAGGAGAAGGCCATGGGAAAGCTGAGGCTAAGGGGTAGTTAAGATACAGTCTGTAATATCTGTCTGAAGTATTTTAACTCTTATTATTTGATTTCTGTTTTGGCATTTATTTTACATAAAGTGGTTTTTATTAAGATTGTTATTACTGGTTGTAAATACATAAAAGTATTTCTACTTATGAATTAGATTTAATAATTTATTTTATATGTGTTCTAAATAAAGCTTTGAAAGAGAACAGCTCAGAGGTTGTTCAGCCGTTCCTAATGGGTTGTGGAACCAAGGAGCCGAAGATTACTCAGCTGTGTTTGGCCGCCATTCAGAGACTCATGTCCCATGAAGTCGTGTCTGAGGTAATGTGAAGATCTTAATTTAAACTGTGTACTTAAGAATCAAATCGGGAGTTTTCATTAGGGGAAAATGAAGTATACCTGATAATTTAATGTAAAACAATTTATGTGCTTGAAGGACATGGCTTAATTTTAAAAGATCACCAGATTTTCTCACTATTAAGCACTCATGAATAATGAATAAAGATGAAGTGCATTTTGTCATGTCATGACTAAGAAGACACCATTGAGTACTATAGATCAGTATCACTGAAGAGAATATATTTATTTATTTATTTTTTCAGTATATGAAATTTATTGTCAAATTGGTTTCCATACAACACCCAGTGCTCATCCCAAAAGGTGCCCTCCTCAATAGCCATCACCCACCCTCCCCTCCCTCCCACCCTCCATCAACCCTCAGTTTGTTCTCAGTTTTTAAGAGTCTCTTATGCTTTGGCTCTCTCCCACTCTAACCTCTTTTTTTTTTCCCTTCCCCTCCCCCATGGGTTTCTGTTAAGTTTCTCAGGATCCACATAAGAGAAAATATTTATTTTTAAAAAGGAAAAATGATGACTTTGCTATATTATCTGAAGTGATAATTTGTTGTTCATTAATTTCAGTGGTTTCTAATTACCTTATGATAGTACAACACTGAAAAACATTTCAGCGGTCTATCTGCATCCTGCTTTCGAGTGCAATGGTCTTTAACTTTGTGGTACTCCATAAGGTACTTTAATAGAAGCGATACATTCTTTTGCCTTTAATACAGCATTCTAAATGATGTCCAATTTAATTGAGTTTATAAATGTTTTGTTAATTTGAGTTGCATTTTGTTTTTTTATGACATTGTAAAGGGAATAATATATGAAACAGTAGTAGTCAGTCTCAATTAACTTGCATGACTATATTTATAAATGTCCACATGAAATATACCCATATTGTAGAAATGAGCTTTGATTTTTTTTGACTAGACATCTCAGAACTGCATGCTGCTGTTTGCATATATTCAAATGGTACATTTTAAAGAAATTTATTTTTTGAGAAAAAATTAGTTTAAATCTCAGATTAGTTGAAAGATGTGTTTTGACCTATAGATCCAGAAACATAGGTTTTGTTATTATGACCAAGAACTTCTCTCCAAGTGAGGTAATATTTGTACATCTTTTCTTATTTAGGGACCTAAAACCTTATATTTTATTTGCTGACAGTAATTCAAATAATTATTTTACAGACTGCAGCTGGAAATATAATTAATATGCTTTGGCAGCTAATGGAAAACAGTCTTGAAGAACTTAAGCTACTTCAAACAGTTCTTGTTCTTTTAACAACCAATACGGTAGTTCATGATGAGGCACTTTCTAAGGTAGGAAACCTGTGGTCAAAGTTCATAATTGCTTTGGAGACAGTATTTGAATAAGCTCCCTGAAAAAGGAAAGCCTAGTACCGTTTGTACTGAAAGCAACTTCCCTGTAGTTCTTGTGATAATGGACATTGCATGTTAAAAAAACCACTAATGCTTTATTTTCCTCAGGTTAGAGTTAAAATCAGGTTAAGGTGATTGAACAGAGTCCTTTGGGAATAGCTGACAGGCTTAGTCATGAATAGGAAAAGAGAAAAGTAGCAGAAAAATATAGAAGAATAGGAAACTGAGAGAAAAAAATGTGTTTGGGGTTATCAGTATTCTCCCGAATTGCTTTGAGTTTTCCCTGTAAGAACTCTTCCTTCTCACCTTTTAAAAATAATTTCACTTGTAGGAGTGCTTAGGTGGCTCAGTCGGTTGAGCATCTGACTTCAGCTTAGGTCATAATCTCATGGCTCATGAGCTCCAGCCCTGCATCGGGCTTGCTGCTGTCAGCACCGATCCCGTTTTGGATCCTCTGTCCGCCCCCCTCTCTGCCCCTCTCTCTCTCATAAATAAACATTAAAAAATGTCTAAAATTGTAAAATTTTGTAAGGTGTGTAAAATCACTTTGGGGAACTAGCATTTTCTTTAAAAGTTTAACCTTATATTTACCGTATGATCTAGCCTTTTTACTTCTAGTTACTTATCCAAGGTAAATGAAAACACGTCTCTACGGAGACTTGTATTTGATGTTCACAGCAGCTTTATTCACAGTGCCTAAAAAGTGCAAACATCTCAAATGTCTATCAGCAGATGAATGGATAAACACAATATTGGTATACCTATACTGTGAAATACTACTCAGGTATAAAAAAGTACAAACTACTGATACAGAGAACAACATGGATGAATTTTACAAACATTACAAGTAAAAGAAACCAGATACAAAAAACAGTGCATACTGAATGATGACTGTGTTTGTAGAAAATGCCAGCTTACCGTAATGAAAAAGGCAACCAGGAGGTTGACTGGGGCCAAGCGCGGAGGAGTATGTGGAGGGCAAAGGAGCATCAGCAGAGTTTTAGGGTGATGGAACTGTCTTGTGTCTTGATTGTGGCAGTAGTTTCATGGGGGAATATAACTAAAAGAACTCATCATATTAAATACTTTAAAGGATTAGAATTTATTGTGTATAAATTATAACTTAACCTGAAGTTGATTTTTAAAAATAAAGAATGACTTCTTTTAAAAATTATCATTTTATTCATTTATGTGTTTAGCCTATTTATATTTCTCCAAGTGACTTAGTGATGTAACAAATTTTGAGTACTTGTTCTTTGCAAAACAAGTCATTCTGGGGAAATAAAAGCATAACACATTTTTATACATATATTAACCAAGTTGTGGGGTGCCAGGGTGGCTCAGTCTTGGGTTAAGCGGCCAACTCTTGATTTTGGCCCAGGTCATGATCTCATGGTTTCATGAGTTTGAGCCCTGTGTCAGGCTCTGTGCTGACAGCCTGGAGCCTGGTTGGGATTCTTTCTCTCCTTCCCTCTCTGACCCTCCCCTGGTCTTTCTCTCTCTCTCAAAATAAATAAATAAACTTAAAAAAAAAAAAAAGAACCAAGTTGTGAAATGTGTGTTTCACATTATCTAACCAAATCTTATGTGGCTGTATATTTACACAGTTTGAATTATTTCAGAATCCAAGGATTTTTGTGGCTTTATTGTATAAGAGAAGAGGGTGGGACTTCTGGTATCTGTGATTGGAACGGCCAAACATAAATTATTTAGTTTTGGGTTATGTCTAATAAAACAAATAGTTATTATGTTCTTCAATCTTATTTCACACTAAATGAAAATTGTTCTTTTAGGCAATTGTTCTTTGTTTTCGACTACACTTCACAAAAGATAATATTACAAATAATACAGCTGCTGCTACAGTGCGACAAGTTGTTACTGTTGTTTTTGAGAGGATGGTTGCTGAAGACGAACGGCACCGAGGTAGAGTGATAAAAGTGGTTTCCTTTTCACAGTGGGTGGTTTTGCTTGCCTGATTCCTCTTTTTATTTTCCATCTTTGCCCTGTGAACTTAGGCATCCAAAAACTAGAATACTTTAAAAAACAGATTTATTTTAACAATATTATTACGTTGACAGTGGGAGTTTAGATAAATCCCTTACAGTGCTATCATCCCAAGAAGAGGCTCTTTATTTTCCATGTTTATTTCTAATTATGTATAATTTCACATTTTTTTATATCAGCTGTTGCATTGTATGTATTTTTAGCCAAACATTATGTTCCATGAATTTTTCATGTCATTCTTTTATTTTTGTAATTTAAATTTTAACGGTTGCACTGTATTTTGTAGCTGTTCTACAATTTAATGAACGAGTTTCCTGCTGGACAGTTATATTGTGTTCAGTATTTTAATACTGTTTTGAGTGTCTTCTTACATATTTTTTCCATTTGATTTACTTCTTTGAGGTAAATTTTCAGGAGTGAATTTCCCTCATGTGAATTTTTGTCTGTGCCTTTTAACATGTGTTAATGAATATTTATATAATGTAAACATTAACCTTTTCATATCTTCATCAAGTATCTTTATTGTAACTTTAAACATCTTTTTCTTTGTAATTTTAAAAAACTGTCTAAAAACTTAGAAACATGTCAGTCAGCTAAAGATGCTCTGTTTCTGTTACAGTTTTTACAGTTTGATAACTTTTAGCTATAGAAATTCTGCTTTTTTCATTTATTTTCCTTATTGGATGAAAAGTAAATTTTTTCCCATGATTAGTTTAAAGGATCATACGGTACTACCATCATGAGCAACCTATCTGCTTTATTTACTCAAGAAACTAAAGATTAAACTGGTTTTCCCTTTTACATAGCTTCCCCTACCCCACTCTTAAAATGCAGTTTGTCATTTCATTTGAGGTTCTTTTGGTAATACTGATAAAAAAAAATGGCAGTCTTAGTAGGTGATGGTAATGCTTGCTGCCTACTCTAATTATTCCTTCACTTTTCCTGAAGTTCACCATTGATCAGCTTTTTCACGTTTGGTTTTAGGCATTCTTGATCTGTTGTTTATCGTAGTATTTCCACTTTGGTATATTGGTTTTTCTGCATGTTTCCCTGGGGAATTCTAGAATTTGAAATATTAAGGAGTAAATTTACAGGGTAAAATGTCAGTTCTCCAGTTTGGGTGTGTTATACATTCATAAACTGAGTATGATTCCTGCATTGGTGGTTTTAGCTTTGTGCCTCTAAAGACCAGTATCTTATTTAATACTTTCTAACAAGGTAGAAACACTTAGAACCTTGTTTTTTTTTTCAAGTTTTCATTAAGTCAACATTTATTCAAAGCAGGCTGTCATAATTAACAGAAAATGATATCTTATTAGTATTCAAAGAAGTGCTGAGTTGGGAAACACCTTTGTAGCTGACTCTTAGCTAGTCAGTACGTATTAACTGACATAGTAATTATGGCAGATCAAGTGGTTAATTCTCTTTTATATGCTGAGATGGTATAGAAATTACCCATGTGGTAAACTTTTATATGTTTGATATTTAAAGGCACATGGAAAGATCATGTGAATTTCAAATTCATAAAATAAAGGGGTTCGGGAATGGGAGACTGGGAAAATCAAATGTATGGATAAAGATGCTAAGCTTAAAAATGTCATAAGATAGTAAAGAGTGATTATGATGGTATTTTGTATAAAAAGAGTTTTTTTTTTTTTTTCAAAGTTATGACCTTTATTCATCATATGTTTTTCATCTTTTTTTTCCCCCTTTGGTTGTTAAATTTTATTTATTTTTCCCACATAAGGCATAGGGAACTGGAATAATTCCCAAGACCCCGAGACAGTTTCTCGATTTAGTTTTGTTTTTGTTTTTGTTTTTTACATTTTTTTTCAATACATGAAATTTATTGTCAAATTGGTTTCCATACAACACCCAGTGCTCATCCCAAAAGGTGCCCTCGTCAATACTCATCACCCACCCTCCTCTCCCTCCCACCCCCCATCAACCCTCAGTTTGTTCTCAGTTGTTCTCAGTTTTTAAGAGTCTCTTATGCTTTGGCTCTCTCCCACTCTAACCTCTTTATTTATTTTTTTTCCTTCCCTTTCCCCATGGGTTTCTGTTAAGTTTCTCAGGATCCACATGAGAGTGAAAACATATGGTATCTGTCTTTCTCTGTATGACTTATTTCACTTAGCATCACACTCTCCAGTTCCATCCATGTTGCTACAAAGGGCCATATTTCATTCTTTCTCATTGCCACGTAGTACTCCATTGTGTATATAAACCACAATTTCTTTATCCATTCATCAGTTGATGGACATTTAGGCTCTTTCCACAATGTGGCTATTGTTGAGAGTGCTGCTGTAAACATTGGGGTACAAGTGTCCCTATGCATCAGTACTCCTGTGTCCCTTGGATAAATTCCTAGCAGTGCTATTGCTGGGTCATAGGGTAGGTCTATTTTTAATTTTCTGAGGAACCTCCACACTGCTTTCCAGAGCGGCTGCACCAATTTGCATTCCCAGCAACAGTGCAAGAGGGTTCCCGTTTCTCCACATCCTCTCCAGCATCTGTAGTCTCCTGATTTGTTCATTTTGGCCACTCTGACTGGCATGAGGTGATATCTGAGTGTGGTTTTGATTTGCATTTCCCTGATGAGGAGCGACGTTGAGCATCTTTTCATGTGCCTGTTGGCCATCCGGATGTCTTCTTTAGAGAAGTGTCTATTCATGTTTTCTGCCCATTTCTTCACTGGGTTATTTGTTTTTCGGGTGTGGAGTTTGGTGAGCTCTTTATAGATTTTGGATACTAGCCCTTTGTCCGATATGTCATTTGCAAATATCTTTTCCCATTCCGTTGGTTGCTTTTTAGTTTTGTTGGTTGTTTCCTTTGCTGTGCAGAAGCTTTTTATCTTCATAAAGTCCCAGTAGTTCATTTTTGCTTTTAATTCCCTTGCCTTTGGGGATGTGTCAAGTAAGAAATTGCTACAGCTGAGGTCAGAGAGGTCTTTTCCTGCTTTCTCCTCTAGGGTTTTGATGGTTTCCTGTCTCACATTCAGGTCCTTTATCCATTTTGAGTTTATTTTTGTGAATGGTGTGAGAAAGTGGTCTAGTTTCAACCTTCTGCATGTTGCTGTCCAGTTCTCCCAGCACCATTTGTTAAAGAGACTGTCTTTTTTCTATTGGATGTTCTTTCCTGCTTTGTCAGAGATGAGTTCGCCCTACGTTTGTGGGTCTAGTTCTGGGGTTTCTATTCTATTCCATTGGTCTATGTGTCTGTTTTTGTGCCAATACTATGCTGTCTTGAGGATTACAGCTTTGTAGTAGAGGCTAAAGTCTGGGATTGTGATGCCTCCTGCTTTGGTCTTCTTCTTCAAAATTCCTTCTATTCGGGGCCTTTTGTGGTTCCATATGAATTTTAGGATTGCTTGTTCTAGCTTCGAGAAGAATGCTGGTGCAATTTTGTTGGGGATTGCATCAAATGTGTAGATAGCTTTGGGTAGTTTTGACATTTTGACAATATTTATTCTTCCAATCCATGAGCACGGAATGTTTTTCCATTTCTTTGTATCTTCTTCAATTTCCTTCATAAGCTTTCTATAGTTTTCAGCATACAGATCTTTTATATCTTTGGTTAGATTTATCCCTAGGTATTTTATGTTTCTTGGTGCAATTGTGAATGGGATCAGTTTCTTTGTTTTTCTGTTGCTTCATTATTAGCGTATAAGAATGCAACTGATTTCTGTACATTGATTTTGTATCCTGCAACTTTGCTGAATTCATGTATCAGTTCTAGCAGACTTTTGGTGGAGTCTGTTGGATTTTCCATGTATAATATCATGTCATCTGCAAAAAGTGAAAGCTTAACTTCATGTTTGCCAATTTTGATGCCTTTGATTTCCTTTTGTTGTCTGATTGCTGATGCTAGAACTTCCAACACTATGTTAAAGAACAGCGGTGAGAGTGGACATCCCTGTCATGTTCCTGATCTCAGGGAAAAAGCTCTCAGTTTTTCACCGTTGAGGATGATGTTAGCTGTGGGCTTTTCATAAATGGCTTTTATGATCTTTAAGTATGTTCCTTCTATCCCGACTTTCTCAAGGGTTTTTATTAAGAAAGGGTGCTGAATTTTGTCAAAGGACTTTCCTGCGTCGATTGACAGGCTCTTGTGGTTCTTACCTTTTCTTTTATTAATGTGATGTATCACATTGATTGATTTGCGAATGTTGAACCAGCCCTGCATCCCAGGAAAGAATCCCACTTGATCATGGTGAATAATTCTTTTTATATGCTGTTGAATTCAATTTGCTAGTATCTTATTGAGAATTTTTGTGTCCATATTCATCAGGGATATTGGCCTGTAGTTCTCTTTTTTCACTGGGTCTCTGTCTGGTTTCGGAATCAAAGTAATACTGGCTTCATAGAATGAGTCTGGAAGTTTTCCTTCCCTTTCTATTTTTTGGAATAGCTTGAGAAGGATAGGTATTTTCTCTGCTTTAAACGTCTGGTAGAACTCCCCTGGGAAGCCATCTGGTCCTGGACTCTTATTTGTTGGGAGATTTTTGATAACTGATTCAATTTCTTCACTGGTTATGGGTCTGTTCAAGCTTTCTATTTCCTCCTGATTGAGTTTTGGAAGCGTGTGGGTGTTTAGGAATTTGTCCATTTCTTCCAGGTTGTCCAGTGTGTTGGCATATAATATTTCATAGTATTCCCTGATAATTGCTTGTATCTCTGAGGGATTGGTTGTAATAATTCCATTTTCATTCATGATTTTATCTATTTGGGTCATCTCCCGTTTCTTTTTGAGAAGCCTGGCTAGAGGTTTATCAATTTTGTTTATTTTTTCAGAAAACCAAGTCTTGGTTTCATTGATCTGCTCTACAGTTTTTTTTTAGATTCTATATTGTTTATTTCTGCTCTGATCTTTATTATTTCTCTTCTTCTGCTGGGTTTGGCTGTCTTTGCTGTTCTGCTTCTATTTCCTTTAGGTGTGCTGTTAGATTTTGTATTTGGGATTTTTCTTGTTTCTTGAGATAGGCCTGGATTGCAATGTATTTTCCTCTCAGGATTGCCTTCGCTGCATCCCAAAGCGTTTGGATTGTTGTATTTTCATTTTTGTTTGTTTCCATATATTTTTAAATTTCTTCTCTAATTGCCTGGTTGACCCACTCATTCTTTAGTAGGGTGTTCTTTAACCTCCATGCTTTTGGAGGTTTTCCAGACTTTTTCCTGTGGTTGATTTCAAGCTTCATAGCCCAGCGTCCTCCTAAGCCGCCATCTTCCTAATGACGAATCATCATATGTTTTTCATCTTACTGATACATTCTCTTTTTTGTTTTTCCTAAATATAATTTATTTTCACTTTAGCTAATGTACAGTGTATACAGTGTGCTCTTGGTTTCGGGAGTAGATTCCCTTGATCCATCGCTTACATACCGCACCCAGTGCTCATCCCAACAAGTGCCCTCCTCAGTGCCCATCACCCATTTTCCCCTAGCTCCCCTCTTCAACCCTTAGTTTGTTCTCTCTATTTAAGGGTCTTCCGTGGTTTGCTCCCTGTTTGAAACTATTTTTTTCCCTTTCCTTTCCCCCATGGTCTTCTGTTAAGTTTCTCAAGTTCCACATATGAGTGAAAACATACATGTCTTTCTCTGACTGACTTATTTCACTTAGCATAATACCCTCCAGTTCCATCCATGTTGTTGCAAATGGCAAGATTTCATTCTTTCTCATTGCTAAGTAGTATTTCCCCCCCCAGTTTCAAAGCATAGTTCTGAGCCTATAAAGTTTGTAATTGCGTAAACATGTATTTATTTTAAGTAGTGCATATGATTTTTTAAAGGTCCTTATAAACTCCTAAAACTCATCTGATTTTGACTACAGATATTATAGAACAGCCAGTACTGGTCCAAGGAAACAGTAACAGAAGATGTGTCAGCACCCTCAAACCTTGTGCTAAAGATGCATATATGCTTTTCCAGGTATTTCAATTGATAAAAAATAATTTTTATTACAGAATATAGTTTTGTGTAAATTTTTGATTTTTGCATTTTATGTTTGGTTTAATTTTTAAAGTGTCAATTTTTAAAAAGTGTCCAATTTTGAAGTGTCACAAGTAGTATTCCAAAAAACTTCTTTAATGTTAAAGACTATCCACAGTTAACTAACATGATAAAATGTAACATTTCACTTTAAGGAAATAGAATGAATTACACTATACTAGAAAATACCATATTATATTATACTAGAAAAATAACTAATAATAAAAAATAATTTTCAACTTAAAATTTAACTAATAAACCTTTGGCCTATTTAGTATAATTTGATATACAAGTACCTAATTTTTACATTATTTGTCGTGAATAAATCTTTTAAGTAAAATGAGATTTATCAGCACTGAAATTTTATTAATTATTTATTAAAGGATTATTATAAGTGTTTTTTCATTAAAAGACTATTAACCATTTATCTGTTTATATTATGTCTTGTCAAAAGCTACACGATTCTTTAAAAGTTTACTTATTTAATCAAGTATATAGTTTGTCAGAATTTGCATTACCAGTGTTTAGTTTCTGAGGAGTAAATATACCATATAAGAAGAGATAATTTTTTTACTTTTATGAATTCTGAACAGCACATTTCATTCTAGCATGTAAATGTTTTATTTTTTATTTATTGTTTGAATTATTTTCCCAGGATCTTTGTCAGTTGGTTAATGCTGATGCCCCTTACTGGCTAGTAGGCATGACAGAAATGACTCGAACATTTGGCCTTGAATTACTTGAGTCAGTCCTGAATGATTTTCCACAGGTCTTTTTACAAGTAAGCCATTTGTAGTATCTTGCAACAAAATTAATCTATAATTTTCTCACAGATATTTTTCAAGAAAGTAACATGTATTCTTTCTCCCATGTTAGAGGACTGAAAGAATTATGGCTTTAGACTTTAGAACTGTGATAATTTAGTGTGTCTTACATTATTGTAGTGCCTCGCATTTTGAAATTTTAACCTTAGAATCCCTAGAAACTATCTAGTGAGACATTTCTCAGTCTGTGAATCCACGAAGGAATGTAGTATGTGGGCTATTTTTTAAAATATGTGAAAACTGAAAAATTGTTACTGATCTTTACTTGTTTATATGTACCTATGTGCTTTTTGATAATTTATTTGGAAAAAAGTAGTAGTAAATGGCTGATAAGTTTAACTTGCAGTACAGAATATTTCAAAATAGAGAGTTATAGAGGAAAAAGTAAGAATCCAAACTTTTCATTTAACTTGCAAGAAGCTAAAGTCTAATATTGATTCAGTGATTTACATAGGATTCCTTAGTCATTAGCAAATCTTGAACTAAAATTTAGATCTTTTTACCACTAACCTAGTTCCTTTCCTTACCATACTGCCTTCCTAAGTGGCACTTCCAAAATGTGTGAGCCAAGTGCTACAATAGTAGAAGATCCTTTAGCCCAGGATTTGGAACTGAAACTTATTATACAGATGATAATTTGGGGACATACAGATCATGATGACTGTAGTGAGAATAATTTGAGTGGAGTTGGGGTGGTTCCTAGTGGTTATGAAGGAAGCCCAATTGTATTAAGTTGAGTAGTGAGTGGAAAAAGTGTGAATAGATAAAACTTTAAAGAGTTGTCTATAATATTTATCAATTAACCAGTATATAAATTTAGTTAGTGAAGTATGAAAATGTACTTTGGTATGCTTTTCATTTTGGCAGTCAAAGAAACTAATTATCGATAGGACAGTAGAATTTCAAATCACTTAACTCTAAAGATCCCATTTTGGGGGACAAAGAATTAAAAAGTACATTAAAATGTGTATAAAAGTCTAGAAGAATATGCATTCGGAAGTTAGCAGTGATCAGTAGCGTTTCTCCAGGAAGTTAATATTAGGCAAGGCTTTTATTTTTATCTTTTCACTTACCGGTATTTTTTCATTTTTTTTTTTCCTCTGATGAATCGGATTCTAATAAGGAGACATTTAAAAAATCTTAATTCTGAACAAATAAACTGCTCTGTACCTTATTTGTTCCCTTTTCTGTAAGATTAAAAGATTAGATTGGATGATTTCTATTATTGTGCCTTGTTCTCAGCCTCAGTGGTATTTGGATGAATAAAAAAACAAAATAATGTATATTTGAGGTTAGGCATTAGTTGTGCACTGGACTTTATATTATCAGTAAAATGGGACTATTTTGGGCTAATATAGGCAGGAAATGAATAGGTTAAGGAAGGTTTTTTGCATGACATGATATGACTATAAGTAAATTTTAAGAATCCTTTGCAAGATTTCCCCGACTAAAACAATTGTGGGGGGTGTCTGGGTAGCTCAGTCAGAGGATCATGAGACTCTTGATCTTGGGGTCATTAGTTCAAGTTCTAGGCTGAGTGTAGAGATTACTTAAATAAATAAAACTTTAAGAAATAAAATAAAATAATTATGCTTGTTTGTCATTGCATTTTTAAAAATCAGCTTATTGTGTTCTGTTCAAGCAGTCTAAGAAGAACAAAATATTAAGTTAATTCTTAAATCTTCCATACATGAATGGAATTGTTATCTTGGCAAAATAAAATTAGTGAATTATATAACATATTTTGTTAAACTGGTGTTCTTTCGGGGCGCCTGGGTGGCGCAGTCGGTTAAGCGTCCGACTTCAGCCAGGTCACGATCTCACAGTCCGTGAGTTCGAGCCCCGCGTCAGGCTCTGGGCTGATGGCTCAGAGCCTGGAGCCTGTTTCCGATTCTGTGTCTCCCTCTCTCTCTGACCCTCCCCCGTTCATGCTCTGTCTCTCTCTGTCCCAAAAATAAATAAACGTTGAAAAAAAAAAAACAAAAAACTGGTGTTCTTTCAGCTGCCTATTTTAAATGCCTTAGCTATTTGTGTAATCTGTTTTCTTCTGTTCTTTATGTTTTTAATTGATAGTGTTCCAGCAAAATTAAAATTCCTAATAATAAACCACTTAATTCCAATTCATTAGATTCCTTTTTAAATTAGATTCTTTTTAAACTTTGAAATAACGATGAACAGTTTGATCTTACACTCTCAAAGAGCAGCACTAATTTCATACTTGTGTGTCAACTAGAGTAATAAACTAAACATATAATAAAGCTAAATTATTCATACTGGTTATTAAGGTTTATTTGCTAGTACATATGTTTGAAAAGTAGTAAGTAAAAAGTAAAAATAATAAGTACCAATTAAGTTAATTTTTTTTTTTTGTCTTTGCATATAGCACCAAGAGTTTAGTTTCCTTCTCAAAGAAAGGGTGTGTCCTCTTGTGATAAAACTCTTTTCTCCAAATATAAAGTTCAGACAAGGTTCCAGCTCTTCATCTTCTCCAGCACCAGTTGAAAAACCGTATTTTCCTATCTGCATGCGTTTGCTGAGAGTAGTATCTGTTCTGATTAAGCAATTTTACAGTCTTTTGGTAAGTGCTAATTTTCATCCATGTTTGTATGTGTAATTGCACGCAGTGCTCTTTTTAAATGATAATTTATTACAGTGCTTTCAGCCTTTTCACTTCAGAATTTTTTAGGTATTGATAGGTATTCTCCTAGTTACTCTAATAAGGGTTTATGCTGTCCTTTCTTAAATCTTGCTTATTTTTAATGTATGTCAAGTAGAGTCATGGACTATTATCTGAAGGCAGCATAGAATTTGTGGCTGGGGAATTTAGCTTCTTAGCTAATTATCAATACCTCATTTGAAGTATAATTAAAATTATAGTATCTTCAATTAATGCTACTTTCATTTATACTATTTTATGTATCTTAACAGATTAAAGCAAAGAAGTTAAAAATTTGGTGAACTCTAGGATGAATAATCAACTATTGGCTTCTAGTCCAGTATTATATTTATTTTGCATAAATTTATGAATTTGTGATATTCCTGATCACAATACATCAATGTATCAATATTTCTCAGAGAAAATGATGTATTATATTTCTTTTTAATTTTATATTAAGTCAAATCCAGCATTGTACTTTTTTTAAGCTTGTATACTTAATTTTAATTAACAGGAATAATTGGTTATTGATCATTGTGGAATAGTAAACTGTATAAAATTATAATACTTCTAATACTGTGAGCATTTGATGTACTAAATATTAGAGATAGCCAACAACTTCACAAACTAGTAGATAATAGTTTATACTAAATTCTGTGGAGAGCTTTTTAAAATAAAGGGCTTTTTTAAAAATTATTTAGGATAAAGATGTTATACATTTTCTTTTCATATTCCAAATCCATTTATGCAAAGTGCATTCAGAAATAATCTTCATAAGCACTGTAGTTATAATTATTTCTGGCCACAAAAGGTATATGTATAATATACATTGATGTATTTAATGCATTGTATAGAGATTACTGTAGGAAATCAAATCACTTCAAAAGTGTTGCTGTTTATTAGGGAAAAAGTTAAGTTATCAGAGTTAGGTGCCAAAGGTTTAAGAGTCTTTTGGTACACCCATTATTATTGGCTTGGATTTTTTCTCTTCTACCCATGTTAATAACATATAATTGAACATTTAGGTATGTGAGTTTATGAACTTACTTTAGTTCATAGCTCCATCTTTCTCTGTAGGGTTTAATTTTTTAAAAATTACAGTCAGTGTTCCTCCCAACATGCATGGTATTTGATATAATTTCCAGTAATTATTTTTAATTGAAAAAATAAGACTTTTTTGTCTAATTATATACAGTTGAAATGGAGGGAAATTCTGTGAATCTTTACATTGATTAACTTTTGGAGGTTTTGAAAGGTCTCCTGTCACTTGTTGAAAATAAATGCAAAGTTGCTTAATTTCTCCAAAGATGGAGAGCTTTTATCTGGCAGTTGTCATATTTTCTTAATTGTATTTATTTATAGTCCGTTTCAATCTACAAAGAAACTTTTTTATTGCATGTTTTTTTATTTTGAGAGAGAGAGAAAACATGAGCGGGAGAGGGTCAGAGAGAGAGGAAGAGAAAGAATTCCAAGCAGGCTCTGTGCTGTCAGCATAGAGCTTGACACATGGCTCAGTCTCATGAAATGAATTTCTCACGATTTCTCACGAAATCAACACTCGGACACTTACCTGACTGAGCCACCCAGGCACCCTGGTCCACAAAGAAACTTAAAAAAAATTTTTTTTGTTAACATTTATTCATTTTGAGAGACAGAACAGAGCCTGAGTGGGGGAGGGGCAGAGAGAGAAGGAGACACAGAATCTGAAGCAGGCTCCAGGCTCTGAGCTGTCAGCACAGAGCCTGACGTGGGGCTCAAACTCACTACAAGATCATGACCTGAGCCGAAGTTGGACACTCAACTGACTAAGCCACCCAGGAGTCCCTGCAAAGAAAGTTTTTAAAATTGTAAACCAGAGTGACATCAGCAAAATGTTGGAAGATGAGGGTTCAAGCCCTCTGTCCCTCAGAGAGACACCAACTTAACAGTACATAATTACCTCTGTGACAACTTCGGAAACCAGTTGAGAGGTTATAGCACCATAGGCAAATGGAAGGCCAAACAGTGAGGTTCATTACAGTGGGTAGGAAAGCTCATGGCCCTTAACTGCATACCTCACTCCACTCCTTACACATCTCAGCATGGTGTGATCAGGAGAAAACTGCCAACCTATGGCTTCTCCTTTAGATGGGCAAAAGATAAAATGCGCATCTAACATTCTGACTTTTTTGGGGTACTGTCCACCTAGTTTCTGTCTCACCTGATTCTTGGAACACTGACAGGCAGCACATTTGGGCCTGCTAGGCACCAAGGCAAACCTGTTGCTTGCCCAGAGAGGCATAGTACTGCAGACATACACCAGGGGGAACTTCTCAATAGAAACAAGTAAGTGTCTTCTGCTGGGAAATTATACACACAAGCCCAGAGGAAACACATTGACAGAAGAGGTTTGAGAGGTTTCCAGGCTGATTGGTGAAGTTCTTTCCTTGTACAAAGCCAGTCCATAAAGACTAAAAGAGTTGACTTTTTCAACAACAACAACAACAAAATAAGGCATACAGAGAAACAGGGAAATATGGCTCGGTTAAAAGAACAAAATTAATCTCCAGATACTAACCATAAAGAAATGAAAGTCACTATAACCATCGTAAAGATCTGAATGAGCTAAAAGAGAATACAGACAACTAAATGAAATCAAGAAAATGGTATATGAATAAAATGAGAATATCAATAAAGAGGTAGAAACTATAAAGGAGAACAAAACAAAAATTCTAAAGAAGTATATGGTAATTCTGAATTGAAAAATTCATAGAAGGGGTCAACAGTAGACTAGATCAAGCAGAAGAAAGAATCCACAAACTTGAAGACAATTTATTGGCAATTACCAGGTCAGAGGAACAAAAACATAAAAAGCAAGAAGAGCTTCTAGCAGACTTCTGGCATATCATACAGCAGACCAAGATATGCATGTCTAGGAAAAGCACACTGGGTTATGCTCCTACACTCACAACACCTTGGATATCAGATGTATGGATTTTTTCCCACATCAGCCAATTCTCTGACAGCCAGATACTGTACGTTGAGTTCAACTCTGACACTAGACAGAGTTAGTACAGATCCTGTAGTTAAGGGCTCAGTTCCACAAGACTCCCCTGTTGCAGATGCCAGTTGCAAGTAGTACATTGCCTGGTTATCCACAGATTCTAAGTTGGCTGTAAATGGGAAGTTCCCACAACCTCCTCTTTGGGTTTGATCATTTGTCAAAGTGGTTCACAGAACCTAGGAAAACAGTTTACTTACTATTGCTTATTTATTACAAAGGATATTTTAAAGGATAGCTATGAACAGATTCATGAAAAGAACAGGCACATGAAAAGATTCATAGGGTGAGGTCTGGAAAGGTCCCAAGAGCAGGAGCTTCTGTCCCCATGCAGTTGGGGAATGTCACCCTCTTGGCACATAGATGTATTCACCAACCTGGAAGCTTCCTAAACTCCATACTTTTAGGATTTTTATGGAGGTTTCATCATGTCAGCATGATTGATTATTAACTCAATTTCTACCAATCTTCCCTCTCCAGAGTATGAGAGGTGAGGCTGAAAGTCTCAAGCTTCTAATTATGATTATTTTTTCTGGTATCCAGCCCCTATCCTGCAATCCATTGAGGGTTGCCTCATTTGAATGAAAGAATCACATGGGAAATTTCAGGAGACTTAAAACTCTGTGTCAGATGCTCCTATCACTCAGGAAATTATGAGAATTGTAGGAGCTCTGTGTCAGGAACCAGGAGCAGGGACCAATATATATATTTCTTATTACTTCACAATACATTATTGGAGTCACGGATGAGGAAAGCAAGGGGCAGAGAGCCAGTTTGAAGAAGTAATGGCCCAAACCTTCCCAAATTTGAAGAAGGAAAGGGACATACAAATTCATGAAGCTCAGAGAATTACAACTAGGATTTATCTAAAGAGAACTATACCAAGACATGTTATAATTAAGCTGTTAAAAGTTTCAGAGAATCTTTAAAGTAGCAAAACAAAAGCAACTCATCATGTTCAAGGGAGTGCTCATAAGACTCAGTAGATTTCTCAGCAGAAATCTTGCAGGCCAGAAGGGAGTGGGATGATGTATTCAAAGTATTGAAAGAAAAAAAAACCTGCCAGCCACAAATACTATACCCAGCAAAACTTTCCTTTAATAATGAAAGAGAAATTAAGACTTTCTCAGGTAAACAAAAGCTGGTAGAGTTCACCTATGACAAGGCCAAATATCTATCACTCCCCTACTTATTTTCCTAAGTATTATCAGAGTTATCTTAGGAAGACTGCTCTAAAATGCTGGTTTAACTACATTAAATTAAGATAAAAGTATAGGAAGCAGAGATATTCTTCCTTTTCCTTTTCATATCCACTCATCAGTCATAGAACACCAAATCTTCTACTCTCATAATAATGCATAATGCTATAAAAAACTTTTATATTCTTATAAAAAAAAGTCACCTTGGTGCTTACTTGTATCCCCTCAAAACTAGTATTTTGAAGTCCTAACCCCTAATGTGATAGTGTTTGGAGATGGAATCTTTGGGAGATAATTAAGTTTAGATGAGGTCATGCTGTAGGGCCATGATGATGGAGTTAATGACCTTATAAGAAGACACACTAGAAAGCTTTCTTGCTCTTTCTCTCTCTTTCTGCCATGGGAGAACACAGTGATAAAGCAGCTGCTTGTGAGTTAGGAAGAGCAGTCTGATGCAAATCTCACCTTGCTGGCACCCTGATCTTAGACTTCTCGCATCCAGAACTGTGATAAATAGATTTCTGTTATTTAAGCCACCCAGTCTGTGGTATTTTGGTATGGTATCTCAGCAGACTAAGAACTTAGTTTCTGTCCACCACTTTTAGTATATAGCATTTCATCCAGTGACTTCTTAAGAGATACAGATACCTCATTCCTCAGTAATTTTGGTTTGGGATGAAATT